AGAGAGAGAGAGAGAATGGTTATTTACTTAGAGATTTGAATGTGAGGTCAGATCCATTTGCCGAGGCAAATGCTGAAGACTCTGGGGCAGGATCAAAGGAGTATGTGCATGTGCGCATACAACAGAGAAATGGTAGAAAGAGCTTGACAACAGTGCAGGGTTTAAAGAAAGAGTTCAGTTACAGCAAGATCTTGAAAGACCTCAAGAAGGAATTTTGCTGCAATGGTACAGTAGTCCAGGATCCAGAGTTGGGTCAGGTATATTTCCAGATGCTGATACCTGAATTAAAGCATGTTGACATTGTGATGATCCTTTGTGTTCTATATTGTATGCTGGTGATGGCTATTCATTAAAGACCTGCATTGAGCATGTTCCTATGTAAATTCTATTCTGTTCACTTGTTTTGTGTTGATCCTTTATGTGCCATGATATATGCAGGTGATACAACTTCAAGGTGATCAGCGCAAGAATGTGTCCACTTTTCTTGTCCAGGTAATTGGTGAACTTCGGCCTTCTCTATTTCTAGTTGTTTTATCTCATCTTTTTTCATGCTCTTTCGTGATGGTGGGGAACTTGGTGTTGGAATATTTCTGTTTTTTTTTGGCAGGCGGGCATAGTGAAGAAGGAACACATTAAGATTCACGGCTTTTGATCACAGTTTATAAATGGTCACAGTTTGTATGTTAAGAAACTTCATCTTTGAAAACGCTTGGAATTAATTTGTAGTGTCATATGCGGAACACGTTATTAGGTACACCACATGCAAAGAATAATACTCTTTAAGATCTTATATATTAATATGATGTTTTTAAATGAAATGATGATGAGGATTGGTGATTTTGATGAAAGTGGATGTTTTGCTCGATCCATGCTACTTCAGGAATTGGGCTTGATAAGCGACAAGTGGTCTAAACTTTTTGGGGGCCAAAAGTAAAAAAAAATGAAACAAATGGATGAAGATGTGTGAATTCACACGTGGATTTCAATCAAGGTTAATAAATGTGGCTGGTGCTAGGCACTTTAATTAGCCTGCCTGAGCCGAGTCACTCGGGTGAGTCCATGCGGTCTTGTTGGACTAGTGTCCCTTACATGCGTCCTATGTTATTTATTTAAAAATATGATATATTTGTCCTATGTTATTTATTTAAAAATATGATATATTTATTCCAAAGTATATAATGAGACCATTTAGTTTTGATACATGGTGGTCATAATTAATCATGATCATTGGATGTGAAATTGGATGGTTGTATTTATTTTATTGATCAAAGTTCAAAGTTCAAATTTTTTTTTTTTCGAATTTTGAGATACAGTTAAGCTATGGTTGTAAATAAGGAAAAATATTTAAGATTTATTTTACAATAGAATCAAGTTTCGAAAGAAATAAGGTTTTTTAAGATTTATTTCATAATATAATCAAGGTTTTGAAAGGTCTTGAATAAAAATTGTAGATTTTATTTCACAATAGAATCATGGTTTTGAAAAGTCTTGATGTATAAAAATTGTAGATTTTATTTCTTTCAATTTTTGTTATTTTAGGCTTTTAGCTATTTTAAGCTTGTTTTCTTAGGTTAAATCTAAGTTGTGTTTTTTTTTAAAAGTTATTTTTTTAGACTTTTAGAGAAAGAAATGAGGGTATCATGGAGGTGAGAGGTTATTGGGAGAGAGGTGAGAGGTTATTGGGAGAGAGGTGTTTGGAAAAATACGGGAGAGTGGAGAAATATGGCAGAAGAGTAAGAAACTAAAAAAAAAAAGAAGTGATTAGGTTTAGAAAGAACATTTTTTTTATATTTGTTTATGTTAAAAAATAGGTTTAAAGTGGACAGGAGTTTAAAAAATGTTTTTTTGAAATTTTGGGTTTATCAAAAGATAAATTTGTTTTAAAAAAGATATGAAGATATTTTTTTTATAAATAAGTGTGCTTTTTATGTACTACATGTAAATAGTCTCGTTGTATATAATATTTATATTTATTATTCAGTTTTATAAAAAGCTTTTTAGGTAGAATTTCTTAAATGATTAGTTGATAATTACCATACTCTTCGAGTTTTTGGGCCATTCAAAACATTAGAAAACAATAAATGAAGCCAAACATTTATAAAAGAGAGTTATGGAAGAACCACTGTAAAAGAGAGTTATGGAAAAGCTTGTTTTCTTCTCTCAGCACAATTTTTTTTGCTTTGCTTTTGAGCCACTGGTATTTAATATGAGCCACGGAGGCATTGTAACTCATGGAGCCATGGTATTTAATATTGGAGCTTTTTGTTTGTTTTTCTGTTTTGGGTAATTCAATGGGGAAGAGAGGCTCTTACCTTTTTTTTTTTCCGTTTTGGGTAATTCAATAGGAAAGAGAGGCTCTTACCCATTTTTTATAATAGAGGCTCTTACCCATTTTTTATCATAGAGTACGAGAGAAATTTTTTGAAAGTGTATGTGGGGTGGTATTAAGTGGTGGGAATGAAAACCATAATGTTGTGACTAAGGTGTAGGGGTGAGGTTAAGCATTAAACATCATATTGGTCTAAATGACGACTCATCTTTTCTCCTTCTTCTCCCTTGTAAAACATCATATTGGACTAAATGGCAATTCATCTTTTCAAAAAGTAATGGTAATTGTTTAGTTTTCTAGATTTTTTTTTTTAAAATAGTGGTAATTTTATTTTGATTTTTTATTATTGCGTAAAAAATATGAAAAAAATTGAGAACATAATTCATGTTTGAGTGTTTGTTGTCTATTAACATTAGTCAAAATGAAATTTGAAATGTAACTTGACAATAAAATAGATCTCTCTTAATTTATTTATTTTATTTTTGTATTAAGTTTGGAGTTTTGATTTTCGAAAAGAAGCATATTATTAAGTCTTTTCATTTTTCAAAAAATTTCTTTATTTACTATCTTTTTTCATAAATACGATTGAGATAAGTTCTTTTTAGAACTCGAAGTCGAAATGTGGGGAACTCTTGCTTAGTCCCACATCGGGTAAGTTCAAGAGTAATGAGGTTGGGTGGGGCTATAAGTCAGGCGTCGAGGGTATTTTGAGGTATCAGATGTAACTGTTTAAAAGATAGGGCAGTAAATAGGAACTAACCCTTCTCTCTTGCATGCTTTTTCTAGAAACACACGTGAGTCTTACTCTTTAATTAGATTTTCCATCTTGATTGGATTGAGTTTTCCTACACAGGAGGTATAGTTTCCTATCTAATAGAGACCAATCTCTAGTTTAATTAGATTTCCCATTCCTAATTGGATTGGGTCTCCAACACATACTTTTTCTAGAAATCCAAGCGAGTCCTACTCTTTAATTAGATTTCCCATTCCTAATTGGATTGAGTTTCCTACACAAGAGGGGTATAGTTTCCTATCTAATAGAGACCAATCTCTAGTTTAATTAGATTTATCATTCCTCATTGGATTGGGTTTCCTACACAAGAGGGATATAGTTTCCGATCTAACTCACTAATATCTAGTTTAATTAGATATTCCATTCCTAATTGGATTGGGTTTCCTACAAAAGAAGGGTATAGTTTCCTATTTAATAGAGACCAATCTCTAGTTTAATTAGATTTCCCATTCCTAATTGTATTGGGTTTCCTACACAAGAGAGATATAGTTTCCTATCTAATAGGGCCTTCCTTTAAGAAGTACTCACCACTCCTTTAACAAAGGAAATCATCTTTATCCTATATATTTGGAAGATATCAAGTTCCCTCAAAATAGGAAACCTTATTTACCTCAAAGCACATCACGTAGAGCTCCCAAATATAATAGCTTAATATGTTGTTCCCATGAAAATAGGAAACACCCATATATCAAAAAGATTTTCATGTACTTCTCTTGAAAACTAGGAAACTTGGATTCACATATCCAACATTCTCCCACTTGAAGACATGTGTTCATTCTGACTCGTCTATTCCAAAAATTGCTGCTCACCAGCTACTAATCATCAAATAACCTCAAGCCCCAAGGAAGTTCTACATCCAGTGAACTATTTCCCAATGGGCTTAGTCAACATTCCACTGAATTGTCATCAATATGAATTTTCTACAATAAATTTTTCCATCTTCTACCACATCACGAATAATGTGATACTGAACATCAATATATTTAGTCTTGTCATAGAAGGCTGGATTCCTTGCTAGAAACAAGACACTCTGATTGTCACAATGAAACCTGGAATTCACGAAATAACCTGTTTAGCCAAATTGCTTCTTTAGATTCATGAATAAGTGACATATACTCAACCTCTATAAAAGACGACACCACCATAGACTGCAACCTTGATAACCAACTAACTGCACCACCTCCTCAAGAAAAAACATATCCGGTAGTAGACCTTTTATCCAAGTCATATGCAAAGTCATCATCAACATAACTAGTGTTTTTCAAATCCATTCCACTGTAACAAATACTAGCAGCACAAGTTCCCTTCAAATACCGAAGGATCCACTTCACAGCGGTCCAGTGATCATGGTTAGGATTTGCCATATATCTGCTCACAACTCCCATTGCTTGTGCTATATCAGGTCTGGTGCTAACCATAATAAACACGAGGCTCCATACTACTGATGAATACGGTACTCGAGACATCTGTGTCTTCTTGCTTCAATGCTAGGCCATTGTTTCGAACACAACTTCATACGCACAGGAAATGTACTAAGTGGTTTGGCATTTTGCATATTGAAGTACCGCAGAACCCTCTCCATATAACTCTTCTAAGTTAACTAGATTTTTCTGTTCTTCTTGTCTCTAAGTACACTCATATCAAGAATTTGGTTAACGACTCCCAATTCTTTCATCTCAAATTCCCTAGCCAACTGAGCTTTAAGTGTTGTAATATTATCCTTGTTTGGTCCTACAACAATCATGTCATCGACATATTGTAACAAGATAATAAAGCTTCCATTACCGTATCAGCAGAAATAAGGACAATGCTTAGCTTCACATCTATGAAAATTCAAGCTCAATACGAAAGAGTCAAATCATTTGTACCAACATTTCGACGTCTGTTTCAACCCGTACAACGATTTCTTGAGCTTACAAACCAAATTCTCTTTACCTTCCTCAATAAAACCCTCAGATTGAGTCATATATATTTCTTTTTTTAAGTAACAAATGCAGTTTTCACATCTAATTGTTCCAACTCTAAATTAAGAATAGCAGCCATAGCCAAAACAACTCTAATAGCAGACATGTGCACAACAAGAGAAAAAAATCGCATCAAAATGAATACCCTATTTTTTAGCATATCCTTTCACAATTAATCGAGCTCTGCATTATGGTCGGATACCTCGATCTTGCCCCTCGTATCTAGGTGATTGAGTAACACGTGTCTTGGATTTGGAAGACTCGGGACTTGAGACCGCTCTCTCGGGAACCTTGTTCACAGAACAAGGGCAGGTGCCCAATTGGTGAGAGAGGAATTTTAAATGTGAGGTGGGGACCAACCTCACTTGGGTTCGTGACTTACTCGGGCTGACTCGCTCGGGCGCCCTCTTAGATCACGACGAAAAGCCCCTAGCTACTTCAACTGGTTCAGAATTGCCGCCTTTGACCTGCAATCTCCTTGTTTTCTGTAAAGCATTAACATGGTTAATTTGTAAGATAAGTGGGTCGAGGAACCCGCCCTTGTCTTAGGGCGAACATGCACAGATGTGCACATTCAAATGGTAGAGAAGATGAGAAGTTAGGGTGATGAAGAAGAGGACTTGACAAGGAGACGAGCCTAGCTTGATAGCTGGACTAGTACAGTGACCAACTCGGAGTGGTACTAAGATGGACACGGTAACTCAGACCGGCACGACGGCAATACTACTCGAAACCAGGACCGATATGACTGTATTAATCTAG